AGAATCCATTTCCAGAAATGTGAGTTAACTGTGCTTATTCTATAATTGAGGTATAACCAAGGTTTAAAAATATGCATTTAAAAAGTATCTAAGCTGTTCAACCTCAACATTCTACACCAAAGAGTGAATTGTTCTTGGTTTTGGGACAGCAGTGTGCTGAGTCATGGAGATGAGTGCACCTGCAAGCAGGAGGTGCTGAGTCATGGAGATGCACTTGTGGTCAGGGAGCCTAGACCTATGGCCCTAGTAACCAGCCAGAGGAGAACAACCCATTTGCAGCTCTAGACCTCAGAGTCTTGCTCTGTAAAAAGAAAGGGCATGTATAATTCAATGATATTTAACATGTTTTACAGAGCTATTAATCTTTTGATTCTTGGAAGCATTATTAAGTTTTCAAATGCTCTCGAAAGCTGTGTCTTCAGACAGAATTACAGCCGAAGAATCTAGAGTCCTGTAAAACAACAAATGAACTTGGGCTTTGTCTCATTCTGAAGCTTTTAAAGGAATTATTAAAGTGTATAAAATGAATATTCTATACACAAGCACTCATAGTTTCGGGATTTACGTTACCACTATTTCTAAATAAGAAAGTGCCTTCTATAGATGTTTTATGCCAGCACAAAAAAAATCAAACCATAAAGAAAAACTCTAGAGTACTTTGCATCCATTAAATTCCATAATTCCATACTCCAATAGCTGTTTTTATAGTAGACTTCATGCTCAGAGAGACAAGCTTTCCTTGTTCGATTATAATTCAGATGTGGAGGAGCGCTCGTTTGTTTTCTCAGAACAAATAACACCAGCATCGATGGTTGATTGTATATACTAATTAATATTTAGACCAAGCTTCTAATGCTTTGCTAGTCTGTAGGAAATTTCCTACCTGTTACTTGAGGCCATAAGAGCCAAAACAATGTGGCTCTACAGTTTCCAGTGACAGCATACAATGAACTCCAGAACCAGCAGAAAGTGCACATTCTTTGCATTATTAAATTATATGAAAATAACAGGTAGAAAATTATGTGTAAGCCACAGGAACTAAGGCAAATGTATAAAAGTCTCCAAATGTTATCAGCAAATACATTAAGTGAAGTTATTATATATTTACTTTGTAATAAGTTAAACAACACTAAATATTCAGCATGAATTTAACAAACGATGCACAAAAGGTTTGCCCTGGCTCTAAAGCATTCTTAGCAGACTTTCACAAGAACAGGGAAGGTGTTCACAGATCACGTGACTCCATGCTTTGAATAATTTGATTCCCCAACACTGATCTGCAGAAAATTCAATCTTATTCAACAGTCCAGATAGCTTTCTACCTGGAGACTGAAAAGTTGATTCTGAAATTGAGACAGAGTGCAAAAGAGCTAGAACAGCCACTCTGTCTTCAGAGTGATGAAGAATGGAGTGATGGAGATGATGAAGCCCCTTGCTTCCACATGCTCTGGACTGTTTTCCTCTACAGTCTTTACAGTTTTAGCTATTATGTCTCATGTTATAGTCTATCTCATATTAACCATTTTTATCATTTGAGGTAGGGAGTTGAAGTTGATTCCGCTTGATTCTTGGAAGCATTATTAAAATTTCAAATGTGCTCAAAATCCATACTTTCTAATAGGTTAAACAGTCAGTACAGTGTGTGAGGCCATGTGGTTCCCTGAAAAACACAGATGTGGAGAAATAAATGCACAAACAAGCAGCATGTTTTCCTCTTTAAAAGAGGGTTTGTTTATTTTCATTTACGTCTAAGTATTTTCATAATACTTGCAGAGGCCAGAAAAGGAGCGTTGTAATACTTGGAATGGGAGTTACAAAGGTTGTGAGCCACCATGTGGATGCTAGAACCAAACCAAGTTCCTCTGCAAGAGCAGCAAGTGCTCCTAACTGCTAAGTCATCCCTCCAGCTCCACAAATATCAGACTTTCAAGAAAACAATTCAAGGCAACTCAGGAATGAACATCAAATATTTAACAAAATGTTAACAATTGCTACACAAATGAATGCAAATGAAAATATTTTTCAACCCCCTACATCAAACTATACACAAAGGAAATCTGAAATAGACCATAATATGAGACACAATAGCCAAAACTATCAAGCTTGTAGAAGAAAACAGGCAAAGCATCTTTGGTCACAGGTATAAATAACGATTTTGCATGCGTGTGTTCATGTTCATGTGTGGGATGCATGTGAGTTCAGAGGACTGGGGCTGACCAGAAATGTCCAGACATTTCTCATGATATAAAGAAGTCAGATAGGATCACAGGAGTATGAATTATAAAGTACTTGCACTGTTAAAATTCATAAAAGTGTAACACTTCAATATCTGTGCATTTAAGTGTATGTCTTGAAAATGAGAAGACTCATTAAGGATGTATTCAATCAGAGACCTTGTAGAAGCGAGGCATCCAGAATTGTGGGCCATGCCGTTTTGTCTTATATTGGTTTTGTTTGAACCTTTCTTGTTATTTATTCAAAATTATTGAGCAGCTATTATTTGCCTGTCACTATTCTAGATATTTTAAATTTTCACACCAATAAGAAAAACAAACAAAAGAGCCAGATTTCAAGCATACAATTTGTATAGCTAGCAATCTGTAGAGATAGAAGGAAGAAAGGAAGGAAGGAAGGAAGGAAGGAAGGAAGGAAGGAAGGAAGGAAGGAAGGAAGGAAGGAAG